TCCAATGGACCGGTTGGACCAACTGGCCTGTTGGTCCAATAGACCGGTTGGACCAACTGGCCTGCCCATTGGACCAACTGGCCTGTTGGTCCAGTGGACCGATAGGACCAACTGGCCTGTTGGTCCAATGGACCCATTGGACCAACTGGCCTGCTGGTCCAATGGACCGGTTGGACCAACTGGCCTGCTAGTCCAATGGACCGGTTGGATGAACTGGCTTGTTGGTCCAATGGACCGGTTGGACGAACTGGCCTGTAGGTCCAATGGACCGGTTGGACCAACTGGCCTGTTGGTCTAATGGAACTGTTGGACGAACTCGCCTGTTGGTCCAATGGACCGGTTGGACCAACTGGCCTGTTGGTCTAGTGGACAAGTTGGACGATCTTGCCTGTTGGTCCAATGGACCGGTTGGACGAACTGGACTGTTGGTCCAATGGACCGGTTGGACCAACTCGCCTGTTGGTCCAATGGACCGGTTGGACCAACTGGCCTATTGGTCCAATGGACCGGTTGGACCAACTGGCCTGCTGGTCCAATGGACCGGTTGGACTGGCCTGTTGGTCCAATGGACCGGTTGGACGAGCTGGCCTGTTGGTCCAATGGACCGGTTGGACCAACTGGCCTGTTGGTCTAATGGAACTGTTGGACGAACTGGCCTGTTGGTCCAGTGGACAAGTTGGACGAACTTGCGTGTTGGTCCAATGGACCGGTTGGACAAACTGGCCTGTTGGTCCAATGGACCGGTTGGACCAACTCGCGTGTTGGTCCAATGGACCGGTTGGACCAACTGGCCTGTTGGTCCAATGGCCCGGTTGGACCAACTTGCCTGTTGGTCCAATGGACCAGTTGGACCAACTCGCCTGTTGGTCCAATGGACCGGTTGGACCAACTGGCATGTTGGTCCAATGGACCGGTTGGACCAACTGGCCTGTTGGTCCTATGGACCGGCTGGACAAACTGGCCTGTTTGTCCAATGGACCGGTTGGACCAACTACCCTATTGGTCCTATGGACCGGCTGGACCAACTGGCCTGATTGTCCAATGGACCGGTTGGACCAACTATCCTGTTGGTCCAATGGACCGGTTGGACCAGCTCGCTTGTTGGTCCAATGGACCGGTTGGACCAACTGGCTGCTTTGTCCAATGGACCGGTTGGACCAACTGGCCTGTTGGTCCGATGGACCCATTGGACGAACTGGCTTCTTGGTCCGATGGAACGGTTGAACCTGTTGCGATCAGAAGTTGATCGTACCTGGGATCACCTCAGGAAGGTTCGCACACGACTGAGTAGTGGTGGTGGGCCCGTGACCTCAATAGCAGAGTGAATATAAAATTCTTGAGATAATAAAAACATGCAAGTACAGCACTATAAATAAGAGTACAAGGGAATACCAATCGACCTAACTAGCCATGTACATTCCCTTATTACAGCGAAATCCAACCGTGCGACTCCAGACAGTTATGAAACTGTCTGGGCAGAGTCCTCTCCACTGCTGCTGCTTGATGCTGTCTGCCCGGCGGTCCAGATCCTTTCGTAACAGTGCGACCCTTCGCGTCACTTCCGTCCCTTCGCCTTCATTCTCGGTAGTGTGTGATTCGATTGCTGCGGTAAGGAGTGCACAGTGATACTTCAATAATCACTATTCGCAACACCCCCCTTCACTCCTGGTCGTAGCGAGTCTTGACCCGCTTGACTACTCCGCTGAGTTCGGAGCAGTGTTGGTATTGCTGACGTGACAGCTTCTGCGTGAGGAAGTCAGCTGCCATGTCACCCGTCGGGCAGTAGGTTAGGTCAACCTTGCCCTTGTCAACTTCGTCCTTGACGAAGAAGTTCCGCAGCGCGATGTGTTTGGTGCGGTTAACGAATCCTGGCTTGTTCGCCGAGGCTGGAATTTTCGCCTCCTGCAGCAGCTCCTGAAGGTAGAGGCCTTCGCGAACGGCTTCTGTTGCTGCGATAAATTCAGCCTCCGCTGATGACAGGGCAACCAGCTCCTGCTTCTGTGAATTCCAGTAGATGGGGCCGCTGGGCTCGAGGCGGAAAAGGAAGCATGTCTTGGACCGTCGATTGTCGGGGTCAGCGGCGTGATCAGCGTCCACGTAGCCGATGAGGTTGAAGGACGAGGTTGGGATGGTGGAGTAGCAGAGCCCAACATTGGGCGTGGAGATGAAGAACTGAAGTGCCCGCTGCAGATCTAGCAGATTCTCAGCCGTTGGTTTGCGGGAGTACTGAGCCAACTGGCTCGCGATGTAGGAGAGGTCGGGCCTGCAGGTAACAGATGCGAAGAGCAGGCATCCCAACTGCTGCTGGTAGGTGTGAAGCCCAGCAGGGGACAGGGCTTTGTTGTCAGGCTTGTGGTTGGGTCATGGAGTGCGGTAAGGGGTGGAGAGTGGTGCAGGCGCAATGTTGAAGCACTTGCTAAGCTCCTCTGCGTACTTGGCTGCTGAGAGATGAATGGCTTCCGGCGAGTAGGTGATGTTGAGCCCGAGAAACTGCTTCACGTCATGATTGCAGGTGATGTCGACGCGCCCTGCGAAGTTTTTCTCGAATTGCTCAAGCAACTCGTTGCTTGACCCTGTGTATAGGAGGTCGTCGACGTAGACCGTGAGTAGGATGTATTCGCCGCGGAAATCGCGGCGATACATCCTAGGATCGTGAGGCAACTGCTTGAACCCGATTTCGAGCAGGATGTTGTGCAGATACTGCTGCCAGAGCCGTGGTGCCTGTTTGATCCCGTAAAGGGATTTTCGCAGCTGGCAGACACGTGAATCCCCCTCGCCGTATGCGTGCGGCTGCTCCACGTAGATCACTGCATCTACTAGCGCGTACAGGAACGCATTCTTCACATCGATTTGTCGAAGCGGGAGGTGTCGTGCTGCAGCGATGGCGAGAAAAATCCTGACGGAGGTGTGGCGGCTGACCGGTGCCGAAGTCAATGCCGTGCCTCTGATCGTAGCCGCGCACTACCCAGCGCGCCTTGAATCGCTCGATCGTGCCGTCAGCTGCGGTCTTCACGCGGAAGACCCACTTCCCGGAGAGAATCCTCCTCCCCTTGATCGCCGCTCGATTGACGAGCACCCAGGTGTCACGGGATTCAAGTGCCTTGATTTCCGCATCCATTGCTTCCCGCCATTCCTTGCTGTGAGGTCCCGTGAGTGCTTGGCGCGGATTCTGCGGCTCGATGACACGTGGCGCCGTTCAGGTGGCAGTGTGGAGCCCAAGGAGCTGGAGTCCGGTGACGGTGCTATCATGGCGGTGTTGTGGAGTGACTTCCTGCACGTCGTCGTCATCGCTCTCAGGATCAGGCGGTGCTGGTGGTGCTGCGCCTCCGCCGTTTCCGCCTCTGCTTCCGCTTCCGCCTCCTGCGCCTGCTCCTCCTCCAGGAGAATCGTCGTCGTCGTCGTTGTTGCGATCGCCTCTCGTGAACTCGTGTCGGAGAACCTTCCTTCTCCCAGCCCATGCTCTGCTCCTCGCACCTACTCTTCTCCCTGCTCCTGCTCTTCTTCCTGCACCTGCTCTTCTCCTGCTGTCTCTCTGCTTCCTCCCTTCTCCATGTTGCAAAGCCTCACTCAACCGCTGCCCCCCCTTCTGTGCTCGTGCTCTAGCTGCTTGAGCTCGTGTCACAGGACCCTCTTGGAGATGCCTCACTCGTACCACTGCCCCCTCCTCTGTTTCCTCCCATGGCCTGCCCTCTCCTCCCGGCACTCATCCTCCCTCCCTTCTTCCCTCTGCCCTGTTCCCGTGATACCTTCCCTTCTCTGCCTCAGCCACCACATTGAACGAGTTTCCTCCCTCACCCCGTAGGTCCTCCCCTAGTGGCGTGCCACCGGATGCTAGATCAGAGGTAACAGCTTTCCACTAATATGAGAGAATAACAGCACGAAAGCATCGAGGGGTTGGCTGTGACTGCCCTTACCCAACCCCAAGCTGCACATTCCCAAAAGTGCGGCTCGGGGTTGGGACTGCTTGGCTTCCTATTTCGCCCTTCGGTGCCTTTTCCCTCGCAATCCCAACCGCTCTCATCCAATTTCCCCCTTTCTACACCCCTCCCTAACAGTAACTTTCCTACGTTCTACACCTACAACTGATTCCTAACTAATACTCTTATAACTAGCTAATGTTCCCATAACAGCCACTACAAGTCCCCCTTACACCATCATCCTACTGTTATTGCATATGCATTAGGTGCATATGCGGTGACAGCTGTCGGAGAACCTTCCTTCTCCCAGCCCATGCTCTGCTCCTCGCACCTACTCTTCTCCCTGCTCCTGCTCTTCTTCCTGCACCTGCTCTTCTCCTGCTGTCTCTCTGCTTCCTCCCTTCTCCGTGTTGCAAAGCCTCACTCAACCGCTGCCCCCATTTCTGTGCTCGTGCTCTAGCTGCTTGAGCTCGTGTCACAGGACCCTCTTGGAGATGCCTCACTCGTACCACTGCCCCCTCCTCTGTTTCCTCCCATGGCCTGCCCTCTCCTCCCGGCACTCATCCTCCCTCCCTTCTTCCCTCTGCCCTGTTCCCGTGATACCTTCCCTTCTCTGCCTCAGCCACCACATGCCCCCTCCAGAGCTCGTGCTCGGGTCTCCCGTGCACGAGGCACTGGACACTCTTGCTGAGGCCGGGGTACTTCTCACCACTGCAGTATTGGTGGTCCCCTGTCTTCTCTCTTCGCCCACTCTCTGACACAGCACTCCCGCCCCCTCAGATTCGTCGCCCTCCTTCTCTGTGTGCCCAGCACCACTTCCTGTTCCAGAGTATCCTTCTGTCCCCCCGAGGGGTAGACTTCCTGTCTCACTCCTTCTGCCGCCCTTGTGCTTGGTGCAGCCCTGCTGCAGCCGCTCCTCTGGCCTGTGTGCATCTCTCAGCTGCACTGTCTGTAAGTTCTCCCGTGCTGCCGGCAGTCCTTCCTTCAGGTACCTTGCCCTGGTTTCTACCAATGCCACGCCATTCTCCACCCCTCCTGTTCCCACTGTCTGTGTCACGAGTGTGACCTCCCTCCCCTGCCCGCTCATTGCCCCCCCCCCACCGTCCACTTAGATCCTTCCTTTGCAGTCCACCCTGCCCATCCTCCCTCCTCATCCTCCACTCCCGCCTCCGCTGCTGCTGCTACACACTCAGGTGCCCCTACTTTCTCTTCCTTCCCTTCCTCTTCTTCTGCTGCTGCTCCACACGCCTGAGTCTCCAAATTCTCTTCTTTCCCTTCCTTTTCTGCTGCTGCTGCTGCACACGTCTGTGTCCCCAACGTCTCTTCCTTCCTTTCCTCTTCTGCTGCTGCCGCTGCACACGCCTCTGCCCCAACTTCTCTCCTTCCCTTCCTCTTCTGCTGCTGCTACTACACACGCCTGTGCCCCCCAAATTCTCGTCTTTCCCTTCCTCTTCTGCTGCTGCTACTGCACACGCCTGTGCCCCCAACCTCGCTTCTTTCCCTTCCTCTTCTGGTGCTGCTACTGCACACGCCTGTGCCCCCCAGCTTCTCTTCTTTCCTTTCCTCTTCCGTTTCCGCTGCTGCTGCTGCGCACGCCTGTGCTCTCTCCTTCTCTTCCCTCCCTGCCGCTTCTGCTACTTCTGGTTTGCACGCCTGTGCCCCCACCTTCACTGCCCCGCTTTCCGCTTCCGCTACTGCTGTCATGCACGCCTGTGCCCCCACCTTCACTGCCCCGCTTTCCGCTTCTGCTACTGCTGTCATGCCCGCCTGTGCCCCCACCTTCACTACCCCGCTTTCCGCTTCCTCTACTGCTGTCATGCCCGCCTGTGCCCCCACCTTCACTGCCCCGCTTTCCGCTTCCGCTACTGCTGTCATGCCCGCCTGTGCCCCCACCTTCCCTTCCCTCCCTTCCGCTTCTGCTGCCACTGGTACACCCGACCATGCCCCCACCTTCTCGTTCTTCCCTCCCGCTTCCGCCGCTGCTAATGCACACGCTTCTGCCCCCACCTGCTCGTCCCGCTCCTCCGCTCCTGCTGCTGCTGGCACGCACGCTTCTGCCCCCACCTGCTCATCCCGCTCCTTCGCTCCTGCTGCTGCTGGGACGCACTCTTCTGCCCCCACCTGCTCATCCCGCTCCTTCGCTCCTGCTGCTGCTGGTACGCACGCTTCTGCCCCCACCTGCTCATCCCGCTCCTCCGCTCCCGCTGCTGCTGATACGTACGCTTCTGACCCCACCTGCTCATCCCACTCCTCCGCTCCCGCTGCTGCTGGTACGCACGCTCCTGCCCCCGCCTGCTCGTCCTGCTCCTCTGCTCCCGCTGCTGCTGGTGTTACTGACTTACACGCCCATGCCCCCACCTTACTCACTAGCTCCCTTCGTATATCCCTTCCCCCACTGCACAGCCACATGTCTGCATGGCCACGCAGCACCGCACCGGAGTGTTCTGGCTCCTGCCCCTCTTCCTCCTCCGCGTACAACCCCGCTTGCCCCTGAGTTCTTTCTCCCAGTGCGTGCAGTTGGGCTCGTAACTGTTCGATCTGTTCCTCGATCTCCTTGGGTGATCTCCTTGCATCCCTTCCTTTCTCATAGCAGTTTCTTGCCCGATTCCCACACACCTCACAGCTCGGTGCATCTGGGCAGTCCCTCTGTCGGTGCCCAGGCTTTCCGCACACATCACAGTTCTTGCACTCCCTCCTGATATGCCCCTCCTGCCCGCACCTGTGGCACGTCCGTGTTTCGGCTCGCCTCTCCTGCCACTGCTCCTCCCCACCCCCGTCCTCGGTTATCATCGCTGCAGCCCACCTGGGCCGCCCTTTCTCTAACACCCTCGGCAGGTACGCCTCATACCGCCTCTGCGCCAGCTCCACTCTCTCTGCCAACTCAAACACCTCCTCCAGCGTTGCTTCAGCTCCCAACTCATACACTCTCATTCTCAGCCCGCCGCTCAATCCCTCATCCAGACCCCCCAGGAACTTGCTTATAAGCATGCTGCCATCTGTGCACACCACGTCTTCCGCCAGATCCGTCAACCTACCGTAGTAGGTGAGCAGTGACTCGGCCCTCCCTCGCTGGAATTCCTGAAATTCTCTCACCCTCTCCGCCGTGTGCCCTGGAAACTGCTTCCGCAGCCGCTCTAGGAACAGAGTGGTTGGGTCCTCATCCTCCTCCTCTGCCCTCCTCAGCCATTCCTTCATCTTCATACGATATAGCGTCTCAGCTTCGCCTCCCAGCGTGTTCGGTGGGCTCAAGAAAAACTCTATCGGGTCCATCCCACTCCTGTCGCAGCGGTACTTCACATTACCGATTTGCATCAGGTAATTCTTCAGGTTTGTCTCTGACCCTGCTCCCCCCGTAAAGCGCACTGGCACCTCCACCTGAGGTGGGGCCTGCGCACTCCACCTCCCTGTCTCCCAAGTCCCTGAGCTCTCATTCCTCCTGCTACTCTCTCCTCTCCTCTCCCTCAACTCTCTGCTTCTTGACTCTGTCCCATACAGCACTCGACCACTTCCTTCCCTGGCTGCCCTTGCCCCCGTAGCGCCTACCCATGACTGCTGCCGCCTTCTCCGCCACGTCGGACCTATGCTCCTTCCCCCCTCTCTCTCTTGAGCCTCCCCATATCTCTCCGATCCCCACCCTGGTCTCTCCCTCTTCTCCGGGGAATGTTCTTTCCAACGCCCCTCCCTTCGGCCCGACCTGTGGCGCGTAGGTCCGTCACACTCTCCTTCGTCCTCACTCTCCGTTTCATGCGCAAGCATCATTTCCCGTCGCCTACTCTGCTTCTCTTCACCCCTTTTCCTTGTTCCCCTGCTGCCCGAGCTTGCCCCATACAGCGCCCGTTCTGTCCCCTCTCTGGCCGCTCTGGCTCCTTCGGATCCTCCTCCTGATTGCCATCGCCCCCTCGGGCCCCTTGTACTCGGACTCCTTCCTCGCTCTCTCTCGTAAGCCGCTCTCCGCTTCTCTGCTCCGTCCCACCGCCTTTCCTTCCCATCATGCGAGTGCTCCTGATACCGCCTTTCTCGCTCCACGTCTTCCCGCCGCCGTCGGTTCCCTCTCCCCCTTTCTTCTGCCCTTGTTGCGCCCAGCGATCGTCGTGCACCCTCCCTGATGCGTCCCTCCTCACGCCCCCCTCCTCTCTCTGGTGAGCACCACCCATCTCTTTCCTCACAATCCCCTCGCTCCCCGTCCAGACCTGCTCGTCTGCCCCGTTCTTCCTCTGGCTTACTCTCCCGTCGCCCACGTTGCTCCTCACCTCTCTCTCTCTCTCTCTCTCTCTCTCTCTCTCTCTCTCTCTCTCTCTCTCTCTCCCCCAAACAGCAGGCCCCCGTTGACCTGCCAGTCTCCCTCGCTCATACTACTCCCTCCGCACCTCTGGCGATCGCCGCGCGGCCATCGCCACGCGTCTCCTCCCACGTCCTCGCAGCTCAGGCGAGCTGTACCGTCCCGTTGGCGCATGGTTTTTCCTGCTGTCCTCCCGAAGATCGTCCGGGAGCGACCTGCCGCTGCGGTTCCGCGGCGCCTCGCATCTCCCTTGAGCACCTCCTCTGGCGAACGATCTGCCGCCATGTTCCCTTGGCGCCTCCCGCCACTCCCGCGCATCCGTTCTGGCGAGCTGTCTGCATCCGCTCTCCCGCGGCGCCTTGCGCTGCCACCTCGCATTTCGTCTGCCGAGCGACCTGCATCCTTGCCTCCGCAGTGCCTCACGCTGTTTCCACCTATTTCGTCCACCGTACCATCTGCATCCGCGCCCCCGCGCCCTTCGTCTGCCAACCCGTCTGCATTCGCGCCCCCGCGGTGCCTCGCGCCCTCTTCACGCCCTTCGTCTGCCAATCCGTTTGCATCCGTGCTTCCGCAGCGCCTCACGCTTCCCCTGCGCATGTCTTCCGGCGAACGCCCTGTCGTCATGTTCCCGTGACGCTTCGCACCGCCTCCGCGCATCCTTACCGGCGAGCAATTTCCTCCCGCATCCTTGCTCTCTCCGTCGCGCCCTTCTTCCGCCACTTCCTCCCTCTCACCATCCCGCGCCATCGGGATGGCGCCGTCTGCTTCTTCCGCGCCGTCTGTTTCTCCCGCGCCGTCTGCTCCTTCCGCGCCGTCCGCTTCTTCCGCGCCGTCTGCTTCTTCCGCGCCGTCTGCTTCTTCCGCGCAGTCTGCTTCTTCCGCGCCGTCTGCTTCTTCCGCGCCGTCTGCTTCTTCCGCGCCGTCAGCCTCGCTTGCCGAATCGGACGAATCTACTAATATGAGAAAATAACAGCACGAAAGCATCGAGGGGTTGGCTGTGACTGCCCTTACCCAACCCCAAGCTGCACATTCCCAAAAGTGCGGCTCGGGGTTGGGACTGCTTGGCTTCCTATTTCGCCCTTCGGTGCCTTTTCCCTCGCAATCCCAACCGCTCTCATCCAATTTCCCCCTTTCTACACCCCTCCCTAACAGTAACTTTCCTACGTTCTACACCTACAACTGATTCCTAACTAATACTCTTATAACTAGCTAATGTTCCCATAACAGCCACTACAAGTCCCCCTTACACCATCATCCTACTGTTATTGCATATGCATTAGGTGCATATGCGGTGACATGGCCAAATGGACTAGTTGGACCAACTGGCCTGTTGTTCCAGTGGTCTGGTTGGACCAAATGGCCTGTTGGTCCAGTGCACCGGTTGGACCAACTAGCATGTTGGTCCAAAGGACCAGTTGGTCCAACTGGCATGTCGGTCCATTGCCGGTTTGACCAACTGGCCAGTTGGTCCAATGGTGACTGGTTGGACCAACTGGCCTTTTGGTCCACTGGACCGGTTGGACCAACTGGCCTGTTGGTACTGTGGACCGGTTGGATCAATTGGCCTGTTGGTCCAATGGACCAGTTCGACAAAATGGCATGTTGGTCAAATGGACCCGTTGAACCAACTGACCTGTTGGTCCAGTGGACTGGTTGGACCAACTTGCTAGTTGGCCCAGTGGACCGGCTGGACCAACTGGCGTGTTGGCCCAGTGGACAGGTGGACCAACTAGCCTGTTGGTCTAGTGGACCGACTGGCGTGTTGGTCCACAGGACAGGTTGGACCAACTGGCATGTTGGTCCACTGGACCTTTTGGACCAACTGGCCTGTTGGCCTAATGGACTGGTTGGACCAACAGGCCTGTTGGTCCATTGGACCCATTGGACCAACTGGCCCGTTGGTCCAATGGACCAGTTGGACCAACTGGCCTGTTGGTCCAATGGACCGGTGGACCAACTCGCCTGTTGGTCCAAGGGACCGGTTGGACCAACTGGCGTGTTGGTATAATGCCGGTTGGTCCAACTGGCGTGTTGGTCCGCTGGACAGGTTGGACCAACTGGCCTGTTGGTCTAATGGACCGGTTGGACCATCTGGCCTGTTAGTCCACTTGACCAGTTGGACCAACTGGCATGTTGGTCCAATTGACCGGTTGGACCAATAGGCGTGTTGGTCCAATGGACCGGTTGGACCAACTGGCGTGTTGGTCCGCTGGACAGGTTGAACCAACTAGCCTGGTGGTCCACTGGACCGCTTGGACCAACTGGCCTGTTGGTCCAGTGGACCGGGTGAACCAATTGGCCTGTTGGTCCAATGGACCGGTTGGACCAACTGGCCTGTTGGTCCACTGGACCGGTTGGACGAACTGGCCTGTTGGTCCAATGGACCAGTTGGACCAACTGGCCTGTTGGTCCAATGGACCGGTTGGACCAACTGGCATGTTGGTCCAATGGACCGGTTGGACCAACTGGCCTGTTGGTCAAATGGACCAATTGGACCAACTGGCCTGCCCATTGGACCAACTGGCCTGTTGGTCCAGTGGACCGATTGGACCAACTAGCCTGTTGGTCCAGTGGACCGGCTGGACCAATTGGCCTGCTGGTCCAATGGACCGGTTGGACAAACTGGCCTGTTGGTGCCATGGACCGGTTGGACGAACTGGCCTGTTGGCCCAATGGACCGGTTGGACCAACTGGCCTGTTGGTCCAATGGACCGGTTGGACCAACTGGCCTGTTGGTCCAATGGACCGGTTGGACCAACTGGCATGTTGGTCCACTGGACCGATTAGACCAACTGGCCTGTTGGTCCAGTGGACCGATTGGACCAACTAGCCTGTTGGTCCTGTGGACCGGTTGGACCAACTGGCCTGCTGGTCCAATGGACCGGTTGGACCAACTGGTCTGTTGGTCCAATGGATCGGTTGGACCAACTGGCCTGTTGGTCCAATGGACCGGTTGGACCAACTGGCCTGTTGGTCCAATGGACCGGATGGACCAACTGGCCTGTTGGTCAAATGGACTGGTTGGACCAACTGGCCTGTTGGTCCAGTGGACCAGTTGGACCTACTGGCATGTTGGTCCAATGGACCGGTTGGACCAACTGGCTTGTTGGTCCAGTGGACCGATTGGACCAACTGGCCTGCCCATTGGACCAACAGGCCTGTTGGTCTAGTGGACCGATTGGACCAACTAGCCTCTTGGTCCAGTGGACCGGTTGGACCAACTGGCCTGCTGGTCCAATGGACCGGTTGGACCAACTGGCCTATTGGTCCAATGGACCGGTTGGACCAACTGGCCTGTTGGTCCAATGGACCGGTTGTACCAGCTGGCCTGTTGGTCCACAGGATCAGTTGCACCAACTGGCCTGTTGGTCCAATGGACTGGTTGGTCCAACTGGCATGTTGGTCCAATGCCGGTTGGACCAACAAGCCTGTTGGTCTGCTGGACAGGTTGGACCAACTGGCCTGTTGGTCCAGTGGACCGGTTGGACCAACTGGCATGTTGGTCCACTGGACCGATTTAACCAACTGGCCCATTTGTCCAATGGACCTTTTGGACCATCTGGCATGTTGGCCCAATGGACTGGTTGGACCAACAGGCCTGTTGGTCCATTGGACCCGTTGGACAAACTAGCCTGTTGGTCCAATGGACCGGTTGGGCCATTTGGCCAGTTGGTCCACTAGACCGGTTGGACCAACTGGCATGTTGGTCCAATGGACTGGTTGGACCAACTGGCCTTGTTGTCCAATAGACCGGTTGGACCAACTGGCCTTTTGGTCCAATGGACCGGTTGGACCAACTGGCCTTTTGGTCCACTGGACCGGTTGGACCAACTAGCCTTTTGGTCCAGTTGACCGGTTGGCCCAATTGGCATGTTTGTCCAATGGACCGGTTGGTCCAACTGGCCTGTTGGCCCAATGCCGGTTGGACCAACAGGCCAGTTGGTCCAATGGACTAGTTGGACAAACTGTTGGTCCACTGGACCGGTTGGACCAACTGGCCTGTTGGTCCAGTGGACCGGTTGGACCAACTGGCCTGTTGGTCCAATGGACCAGTTGGTCCAACTGGCCTGTTGGTCCAATGCCGATTGGACCAACTGTCCTATTGGTCCAATGGTGACTGGTTGGACCAACTGGCCTTTTGGTCCACTTGACCGGTAAGACCAACTAGCCCGTTGGTCAAGTGGACCGGTTGGACCAACTGGCATGTTGGTCCAATGGACCGGTTGGTCCAACTGGCCTGTTGGTCCGCTGGACTGGTTGGACCAACTGGCCTGTTGGTCCAGTGGACCGGTTAGACCAACTGGCCTGTTGGTCCACTGCACCGATTGAACCTACTGGCCTATTGGTCCGCTAGACCAATTGAACCAACTAGCATATTGGTCCAGTGGACCGATTGAACCAACTGGCCTGTTGGTCCAGTGGACCGGTTGGACAAACTGGCCTGTCGGTCCAGTGGACCGGTTGGACAAACTGGCCTGTTGGTCAAATGGACACATTGGACCAACTGGCATGTTGGTCCAATGGACCTGTTGGACCAACTGGCTAGTTGGACTGTTTTCCCAGTGGACAAGTGGACAAACTGGCCTGTTAATCTAGTGGACCGACTGGCGTGTTGGTCCACTGGACCGATTGGACCAACTGGCCTATTGGTCCAATGGACCTTTTGGACCATCTGGCCTGTTGGCCAAATGGACTACTTGGACCAACTGGCCTGTTGGGTGGACCGGTTGGACCAAATGGCCTGTTGGTCCAGGAGACCGGTTGGACCAACTAGCATGTTGGTCCAATGGACCAGTTGGTCCAACTGGCATGTCGGTCCAATGCCAGTTTTACCAACTGGCCAGTTGGTCCAATGGTGACTGGTTGGACCAACTGGCCTTTTGGTCCATTGGACCGGTTGGACCAACTGGCCTGTTGGTACTGTGGACCGGTTGGATCAATTGGCCTGTTGGTCCAATGGACCAGTTCAACAAAATGGCATGTTGGTCAAATGGACCCGTTGAACCAACTGACCTGTTGGTCCAATGGACTGGTTGGACCAACTGGCTAGTTGGCCCAGTGGACCGGCTGGACCAACTGGCGTGTTGGCCCAGTGGACAGGTGGACCAACTAGCATGTTGGTCTAGTGGACCAACTGGCGTGTTGGTCCACAGGATAGGTTGGACCAACTGGCATGTTGGTCCACTGGACCTTTTGGACCAACTGGCCTGTTGGCCTAATGGACTGGTTGGACCAACAGGCCTGTTGGTCCATTGGACCCATTGGACCAACTGGCCTGTTTGTCCAGATGATCGGTTGGACCATTTGGCCTGTTGGTCTACTGGACCGGTTGGACCAACTGGCCCGTTGGTCCAATGGACCAGTTGGACCAACTGGCCTGTTGGTCCAATGGACCGGTGGACCAACTCGCCTGTTGGTCCAATGGACCGGTTGGACCAACTGGCGTGTTGGTATAATGCCGGTTGGACCAACTGGCGTGTTGGTCCGCTGGACAGGTTGGACCAACTGGCCTGTTGATCTAATGGACCAGTTGGACCATCTGGCCTGTTAGTCCACTTGACCAGTTGGACCAACTGGCCTGTTGGTCCAATTGACCGGTTGGACCAACTGGCGTGTTGGTCCAATGGACCGGTTGGACCAACTGGCGTGTTGGTCCGCTGGACAGGTTGAACCAACTAGCATGTTGGTCCACTGGACCACTTGGACCAACTGGCCTGTTGGTCCAGTGGACCGGGTGAACCAATTGGCCTGTTGGTCCAATGGACCGGTTGGACCAACTGGCCTGTTGGTCCACTGGACCGGTTGGACCAACTGGCCTGAAGGTCCAATGGACCGGTTGGACCAACTTGCCTGTTGGTCCAATGGACCGGTTGGACCAACTGGCCTGTTGGTCCAATGGACCGGTTGGACCAACTGGCCTGTTGGTCCAGTGGACCGGTTGGACCAACTG